GGGAACAAAACGGGAGAAAAGACACTCAAAATCAGGGCATCCATATATATATATGTGGAGGGGAGACGAAGGAGCCTGGGAGAGGGGTAGATTGATACAGAGCTGTTTCGGGCTCGGCACGTAATATAGGCACAATGGCACTACCGACAAAGACAAGAGAGACTGAAATAACTATTTTTGGCCTATTAGCTCGCGTCAGCCAGCCATAACCAACTCCGAAGTGTGGAACACCTGAGGAATATATGTTGGTCATGCAGGCCGACGAATTGGGACTCTCGGTCCCGAGAGTCAACGCTCACGGAAAAGAGCTGAGTTTGGGACCAGAGGTCATGTGACCAAAGCCGAACACTCTCTCACCGTTGCGCTCGCGAAGCTGAATGCTGCTCACATGAGCAGCAAAGACAGATCACTCCACAGGTTGACGTGAGAAAGGCCAAACGGCACGTCGATTTGACTACAATTACGCCGATCCCAAAGTAAACAAAGGCCACGCAGACCTGTCAGCAGTCAGCCCCGAGGATGTCTAAGCCAGTCAGCGGCAAACAGACAGGTTACATTTTGTGCGTGAAGCACGGCTATAATACAAGGCAAGCGGCAAGACAGAACAATTCAAGACCGGCAGGAGCAACAGGTACGCTACTCTGATGATGGAAACGAGGAGGTTTCCAAAACGTCAGTTCGAATGCAATATGGTCCATGAATTCGCCCCCTCTTCTTCTTCGTCTTCTTTGGGAGATGATTAACGCGCTACAATGTATGGACCTCGAAGCTTTACGCATATTGATATACGTAAATGCATGAATTTGAATGACTGACGTACTATGCATTCCTAGACGATATAATGATAAAAAGAGAAGGCACTGCTGATGATCAAGCTGTACTCATGACTTCTCGAATTGGTGAGAACAATCCGTAGTTAGACAACATGAAGTAGGACTGTCATAATGGACCATTTGTTGCGACAGGATAGACATTGGCGGGCAGGCTCTTAGCGTGTGAGAGAGATGAGTTGAGCACAAAATCACGGTAGGTTCCTACGGGGGGATAAGAGAACAGTTACGGCCCTCTAGGCTGGAAGGGTAGGGATGCTAGGTCAATGGGGTTGGGAGCGGACGGATACGCGGTCGCTGATGCGACATGGGGGCAGGACTCAGTGAGCGGTGACCTCAGGCCTTCATGTGCATTTATTGAATAACGTTGGTAGTGTGCATTCTGAGATAATATAATAAAGAAAGATGTTCTGTCGAAAACGGACTTGTACTAATAAATTACCAGGCTAGTTTCACCGATAAACCGCAACGAGAGCTCATAAGACCCATCAGAACACACCCTCTTGAAGACGCCTGTCAGCCTGTCTGTCCGCAAAGGCAGACGCTGGTGGAACATTCTCACCTCTCATCCTGGATTTCGTTTGACAACGGGCTAGTGTAACCAGTTTTAACATTCACAAGTATAAGTCTATTTTCCGTCTGAACTTAATCTTTCAATATAAATATATGCCGTAGTAGAAGGGCGCCCACTGATCGCTTTACGAGACAAACTCGTCCTGTCGTGCTTTTAGACTCAATCCCGAGCTCCGCCAGCAGTTGCACAGGGGCTAGTGGTACGGGCAGAATAACGAAATGGACAAGGGTAATGGAGACTAGAATGACTAGAAACGACTGCGCAAGTCCAAGGTTCTTCTTGTAATGAAAATTAACGCGCGATCCCAGTGTGTTCAGCAACGCGATCGGTGAGCGTCCCCTATAACATTGTATATACACGGTAGCAACCGACAGGACAACGGGCCCGTGGCTCAGTGGTTAGAGGCGTTGGACTTCTAACCAAAAGGTCGTCTGTTCGAGCCCCAGATGTTCCACACCTCGGGGTTGGGTATGACTAGCTGACGACGGCTAATAAGCCAGAAATGGCCGCCACAGTCTCCCTTCTATTTGACCGTAATAACATTCTGCCCATATCCTGCGCCGCTGTGCGGCTGCTGGCAGGGCTCGAGAGAGACCCAAGGCACAACGGAACAAGTGATTTCCGCAAAAACTATCAGTAGCCATCCCACTACCATTCCAGTCTCCATTGTCTTTGCCGGTAATGTTGTACTACTAATAGATATGTATATACATACAGGTTACATGACACATCATTTTTGAAAGTTGAAAGCCTAGACGCGTGTCCTGCCGCCGGGTTCGGATAATCGGTGGGTCAACGTCCCCGCCTTTTCCAAAGATCGACTTTCAGTTAAACAAAAGCACAAAGACACACTGAAAGTAATATTACTATCCATTATCCTAAAAAATGCCTAAACTTCAGTTTGCATAACAAAATATAACAGCGTAAACAAAATAGCAACTGAAGTTAACGTCCTCTACAAATTGATGTAATAGAAGGTATGGGGAGTCGTCAAGTGGGTAGAAATGGATAATACGCATCAAAATGTTTTTAGAAGAATTCGATATGAGCTTTCGATTTTAGTACATGAAATTCAAAGACACAAATTCTTGGAGGATATCTTCTTCAGTTGCACCCAGAAAAATACTTTTTAAAACTTTTTATGTTCATGCTGTTTTAATTTCCTTGTTATTTGCATGTTTTTTTTGCATAGAATGTTTTCCGAACTTCCGCATTTCATAAGAAGGCAGTCGTTTATAACACGGGTACACACTCTATTACTCGCAATCCTTCCATTTATCTTCATTTAACTGAAGGCTGCTCTTTATTAATTGGATGTCTTGGTCGATACATTTGGATCGGTTCCTGATTAATTAGGAATTTTTTTGTTAATTTACGCAGATTACATGAAATACGTCACATACATATTATAAGTGAGGGGAAGGACGTTTTCAACTTGACACTCAGCCCTGAATAAGATCGAGTCAGAACTCAATTGGAGACCTTCTACAGAACGACTGGCATCCTTTCAGATTTGGGGGCGAGAGTGTGCGTGGCACGGGTAGATGTACTTTATAATTTTGTCACTCACTGAACTCAGTCCTGCCACCAGTTTATTGAGCGGTTCAGGCTACCGAGAGGGATGAGAGGGCGAGACTGACGCTGAGAAATTAATTCCCACAAAAACACACCGAGAGTCGTGCCTTTTAGAGTTATCAACTAAGAAGTTAACTCGGTCCTTGTGAGAGGAGGGTTTCAAAAGTGTCGGAGGACTTAAAGCCATACTCCAGCGCCTTCTTCTTAATGTGTTTCTTATAGGATTCACACCCACGTGAACTCCGAGCCGACCCACAGAAGCCAGGAAGACCATGTTGTGTATGGTACGAGTAGACGGGTCATCCAGTTCTGCTAACCACTGCGCACGATTCCACCTCTTTTCCTCCTAACAGTTTCTTGGTAAGCAAGAGAGGAGTGTGCAGTAGATGCTGTGCAAGTTTGCCTCGATTTATTAACTACAGTAGGTGGACTAACTCATGAAATGTCAACTGAAATTCCAAAATGCGTTTTCGTTTCGAAAAGATGAATTAAGAAAGGTTGTAAAACTAGCCAGTCTGCAACACGATTTTATGTTTCCGTTACCCCAAAATACCGTCTTTCGAATGAACTTACTTCAGGCTGCATGCAAAATTACACTCTGTAAAAACTGACTACGTAAGTAGCATGAATTTTTCTCATTGATTTTCGATGCCCTCTAAACGTCCCGTTATATTTCATGGAAAACATGCATATGAATATTCATGCTTTCACTATTTCGGTAGATAAATATGTCTTTTTCCAATCTTATACTCGAAGGAAGGGTGATATTCGGTTTTCAAAAACTTTTCCCATTCCTGAATAATTTTGAACCCGACCTGATATTAAACTTGCATTCAGGGTTTCCAATCTACAAGCCGTACATTTTCCGCGTACGGTACCCTACATTTATCTACGGTATTAAGAGGAGACCATATTGTGTTCATAAGATTTAGCATTAGGTTTGATCCATATTGTTAACTTTACAAGCCACATTGGTAAACGCAAAGACGTGATGTTTTAAGAATGGCCATTTCACGGTAATAAAAAGTCTCGCAATTAGAAAAGTTTTTAAAACCGAATTATACTCTTGGTTCGAATATTAAATTGAAAGAAGACGTAATTTTCTACCGAAGGAGCAAAAGAATGTATATTTTTGTGCATGTTTTCCATGAAATATTATTGGACTTTTAGGGGCATCGAAAATCAATGAGGAAAATTCATGCGACCTTGGTATTCAATTTTTTTTACAGAGTCTAGTTTTACTTGCAGCCGGAAGGCAGTTCATTCGAAAGCCGGTATCCAGAAGGAACTGAATTATTATAGAATCATACTGCAGGCTGATTAATTTAACAATCAAACTTAATTAATCTTTTTGATATGAAAACACATTTCGGAATTTCAGTTGACAATTCATGAGTTAAGCCACCTGCTGTAAGTCGCGCGGATGTCACGCGAATGCGACATCTGTAAGACATAAGCTGGACGTCTTCGCTTGTGATGAAAAAACTATTGTAACTAGGAATGCGCTGATTTGCCACGACGATAAATTCATCTTTTTTTACTGGCCACATAACCCCTCTCCTCTCTTCCCTGCCCTTGTCAGTTGACCAAGCTTGTCAACCCATTGATGCTTAAAATGGACTTGCCGCCCGCATTTGCGGCAGCTAATAAGGACTCGCTCAGGCCCAGCTCAGCCCCATTACTGCTTGCCGTCAGACATCCTGGCTCTCGTTTCTGTCTGTATGGGGAAGAGGAGAAGGGTTGCACGTGCATTCGTTGCACTTCGGTCTCCTGTGTAAGAGCTCTAGACTGAATCCCAAGTCGCATGTCCCTCCCCCTGACACGATCGGTGAACGCCCTTTCAACGAGAGTTTGGTCTGCTCAGCTCCCACGACTTCACCCTGGCGCCGCCATGTTGAGGCCTCAGGGGGATGGACGAAAGAAGGGAGTAGGAGGAGGAGGAGAAAGAGGGTAGCACACGCACTCATTATACTTATGTCTCCTCTAACAGAGCCTGCATGAGTTGGGAGTCGAGTTTCATGCTACTCAGACACAGAGAGGAAGGAGGAGGTAGAGGAGGAGGAAGATAATGAGGAGGAGGAGGAGGAAAAGAAGGAGGAAGAGAGAAGAAAGAGAAGAAGGGGAGGAGCAGGAGGAGGAGGGAGAGGAGGAGGAGGAGGAGGGGAAGAGGAGGTGGAGGGGAGGAGGAAGAGGAAGAGGAGGAGGAGGAGGGGGAGGAGGGGGAGGAGGAAGAGGAGAAGGAAGGTGGCACACGCACTCATTGTACTTATGTATCCTCTAACAGAGCCTGCATGAGTTCGGAGTCGATTTTCATGCCACTCAGACGCAGTAGGAAGAGGAGGGGAGGAGGATGTGGAGAAGGAAGAGAAAGAGGAGGAGGAGGAGGGGGAGGAGGAGCAGAAGGAAGAGAGTGGCACACGCACTCATTATACTTACGTCTCTTCTAACAGAGCCTGCATGAGGTCAGAGTCGATCTTCATGCCACTCAGACGCAGGTTTGGGTTTCTGAGGACGCAGCGAAGCGCAGCGATCACAGTTGCGCCGGTGGTAAAGACTCGATAGGTGAGCAGGAATGTGTTGAGGAAATCAATTGATTGGAAACGTGGATCAAGGAGGCGGTCCAGCAGGCGTCCCAAGGTCCCATGACGCACCTCAGGCAAAAAGCGAAAGTTAGATAGAGTGAGGTATAAAACAATGGGCGTATCAGAAGATATTGCTTTGTCACAATGTGCGCTATGAAAGATGATGCGTTTGATCGCTAATTTGGCCATAGTAGTGACACCTTGCGGCTGTTACTGCCGACAGGTCTTGCTTCCTCTACTGGTTTACAGCTATTTCGTCAACTTTGAACGCCCCGCATGCTAGCGTCTCAGCCTCACATCCAGCCCCTCGCAGTCAGGGGCATACTTGAGAGTTGAGGTCAAGGCTTTAAAAGATAGAATTTTTACAGCCCCTTATCTCTAGTAGGACTATGTTATCGGTCGACGGACTCACCTGGGGCATCTTGCAGGAATTCACCGTTGCTTGATACTTGATGTTTGCATCGTCTCGGAAGAGCTTGGGATCGGCCCTATAAGGCAAGCAACCGGATGCAGCTAAGAAACACGTGTTCACGATGGGGGAGGAAAATACTGGAAGGTGACACTCACCGCACTGAGAAGGGCATGGATATCGATGAGACCTCCGAGTAGGTCGTACTGAAGACATCACTATAGTGCAGCTGTTCAATGCACTAAAATGGTAATGACATATATGTATATATTCAGAAAATCAAGTTGTACTCGTGAATTTTCAAGTTGGTAACGCCGACTCGTCGTCAGGCGAAATGGGCAGGGGAGAAAGTGAGATCGGCAGGCTAGATAAGTTGGCGCGATGGGAAAGACAGCGACAGGCAAATAGCTGGTGAGTGAGAGATGTGGGCACCTAGTTGTGGTAAGTTTTGGGGCGGGGAAGGAAAGGGAAAAGGATTAGGGCCCTCTCTGCTGGAAGAGGAGGAGGAGCGGAGGAATTGTGGATCAGTGGGAATGCGTCATTGATGTGAGATGAGGTCAGGGGTCAGTGCGCCGGCGTTGGAGGTGTTAGAAGCCTCGGTCGTGGTTCGCCGTGTCGCAAGCAGTGCCGTGGCTACACAATGCAATTATGTGTTGCCTAGTATGGATTAACAGCTCGGACGATACTGAAGTGATTGTAGTGCATTCTAGTAGACACTTCCATTTTGAAATTGCAGCTTTTTAATTTCCCTAGGACTTAATCACTAACTTGGGTATCTACCAGAGATCATGCGAGGAAAACTGGTGATCCACTGACAAGCCGAACCACTCGCATATGTGTCATGCAACGACAGAATATCCGCGAAACACGTGACTGAGCGTTTAGCTAACACCTGTGCTGTCAATTATGCTATATATTCCAACTTATGCATGTATTGCTGGCTGCCCGTTGGAAGTTCGTGAATGTTACGCGGTTATTTCGTTGTGGCTAACGGACTTTGGCCCAAATATTCATATCGAATTTCAGTCTGAGCCTATAAATCTCGAATAGACCGATGTTCAAAGTGAAAATTAAAAAAACTTGTCCTATACATATATGTATAATGGTAGGGGGCGCTCACCGATCGTTCTTATGGAACTCACTCGTTCCGTTGTGCCTTACAGGCTCTCTCTCTCGAGCTCTACCAGCAGCCGCACAGCGGCGCATGATATAGGCAGAGTGCCATTACCGACAAAAACAAGGGAGACTGGAATGGCCATTTCTGGCTTGTCAGCCGTCGTCAGCCAATCCTACCCTGACATGGCTGACGACGGCTGACACGCCAGAAATGGCCATTCCAGGCTCCCTTGTCTTTGTCGGTGATAACATACTATATGTATATGCGTCGGACAAGAAGTTTTATATCGAAAACAGTGCATAGGTATTCGCCGGCATTGAAAGTTACTTGTACCTTATAACATCATACTTGATTACATACTTCCTAAAAATAACCCATAAAATGCTGCTGATTCCAACCTGACTGATGTCGGAGCACCAGGCCTCCTTCTCCTGCAGACTAGACGCCACCAGCCACAGAGTGATTGGGGGACCCTCGTCTGTCGTCCAGGTGATCTTGAAGTCGAGATTGCGGTAGTTTGAACTGTTGAGTTCAGGATGCGTCTCTGCAGCCTGCATTTCTGCGCTCTCCAGAAGGGAGCCAGTGTTCTCAAACACCTGCCCATTCCTGCGGCCCAGATTTACCTGAGGTGGTCTGAAATCGGCGATAGGTCTCCCAGAGACTTTGGAGCCAGCGGCGGACTCAGTATCGAGTGTCGGATCCGCTGTCGTTTCAGTAGAGGCTGTTGAAGCGAATATTGCCGACCTGCGGGATCTTCTGCGCTCTGT